TGTCCTTCCGTCCGCACCCTGTAGGGTTCTGTGGGTGCCCAGCCCCCATCCATGTGTCCGTCTGGCCGCGCCTTGTGGGGTTCTGTGTCCAACCAGCTCCCGGCCTGGGCCCCTGGGAATCCCCCCGCCGGCCCCGCTCCTTGTACTTTGCCTCCTGGCACTGGGCCTGGAATTAGGAGCTGCCCGTCGTGGGGAGAATCCCCTAGTGCCGCCCGGTCGTAGGCAGGGACCTCAGCCCCGACACTGCGCTGGGGGGGAGGGATGTTAAAAATGAGGCAAAAGCTGGGAAACGGGAAGTCGTTCTCATAAATCATCCTTTCTTCTGATGCCTGGGTTCCCAGAGCATCCTGCTTCTACCCGCAGCTCTGACCTAGGGGCGTTAATTGTTAGAACGGTTAAAAAACGTGACAGGTCGACACCCCGATCTCTTGAAACCGTGCAAGGCAACATTACACAATAAGAGGATTTTGTGCATCAGTAAGAGCACCTAGACTATAGGCCAGTGACATACCGACCTGTTATAAACTGATCAGATATTATTCATTTTCTCTGCAAGTACCATTCAGTAGCTAAAGTCTTGCTTATAAACTTATTTTAGATTTAGATTTAGATTTAGATTTAAGTTTTGATTTCTATTTTGATTTCGATTTAAGTTTAGGTTTAGATTTAGATTTAGATTTATACACACACGAATATATATATCATTGCCATTAAAATATTCAACTATTATTTCAATCTCTTTCTATACTAATCATAACATTGGATCGTCTATAAACACTCAATGATAACAGGACAACAGTCATTGTCCAATCCGGTCAGTCTTTTCTCTTTATGTTTTCACCACGATTCTGCTATTTTTCCTTTTTCTTGGCACCTTAACCTGGTTAATAACATTTTTTAACCCTCATAATGCTCTGCATGTCTCACATAGGCCTATAGAGAAATCTAATTTTCTTTATCTTTTTATATATGTCACCGCAAATTTGCCGACGATTAATATATCTATACAGAGAGCCTAATCAGAGTTAATGAAATAAAAACACACACCAATTAAATTTCAGCTTAACCAAATGAAATGTAGATCTCGACAGTTTTTGGATTTACCTGTAGATTTCCCTATGTGGATACCGTTGGCATTGTATTTTAGTGTCAGTCTATTTAAAATCATGAAAAAAGACCAAGAAAAAATGAATCCTTAATATTAAATAATCATTAATTGTTAGAACAATAATAGTAATAATAAAGTTGTTAAATAGAAAGAAAAAAAGAAGCTTTGTTCCGCCTTAGATTGTTCTAAATCATTTTCAAACAAAACCGATTCTCCTACAAAGCAAATAGAAATTTGACTGTCAGGCGCCTGTCTCAGTCCAGCTCCACCCGATGACGGAAGCACCCACTCTGTCTGGGTGGTCAAGTCAGAGTCGTTGCACCTGCATTGGGCGATGCACAGATAAGTCTCCCCCATAGGACCCGGTGCCCGTTGGCTGGGGTGCTGTGCCGGAGAGGGGGCTCAGCCAATCAGGAGCCTCGTCGTTCCCCGTCGGGAGCTGGATTTGCATACGCGGCCTCATAAGAGGCAGCGTCTCCCTGGCCCGTCTCAACTCGGCACGAGGGACAGCGTGAAGGTCGGCCATGCGTCCGCTCCACGGCCTGCTCCTGCTTCTCGGCCTGGCCGGTGAGTTACCCCACGGACACCCCTGACCCAGCCCCTGCCCTTGCTCCTGCCCCTGAACCAGCCCTTGCCATTGCTTGAGGAGACATTGGGTGTCACTGACATGAGCAGCCAGAAATAACGGGGCTGAAAGCCAAGGAAATGGATCTCCGGGTCTCCTCTCCCTTCCCATCTTCCCATCCGCACACACGTCCGTCTGCCTCCTTCCGCCCCCCAGCGCTGACTGGATTTCCCTCCCTCTCTGCATCTCTCCTGCCTCCTCCCCATCCCTGTGTCCTTCCCACACCCCTTGCCCACGGAGTCTCCTTCTCTCTCTCCCTCCGCCCTCAGTGCCCCCGCAGCTGTCCCTGGGGTCTCTCCCCTGCGTTCCCCCTTCTCCCTGGGGCGCCCGGCTGGCTGGCTCTCTGCTGCTCCGTGGCCGGGCCTAAGGGACCGCACTGCCCTTGTGTGTCTCCCGACAGACGTCCGGGGGCAAGTCGCCTCCTTCAGCCAGAGCCCCTCGGAGATCTCAGTGTCTCCCGGAGAGACGGCCACGCTGGAGTGCGCCGTGGCCAATGTCGGAGCAGACAAAGTACATATGAGATGGATCCGGCAGAGCCCGGGACAGAAGCCGGAGGGGGTGCTGAGCTTCAACACAGACCTGAAAATCTACCGAGCACCAGGCATCCCGGAGCGATTCGAACCCTCCCGAGATGCTGCCAACAAGACCTTCCTGCTCACCATCCGCCAGGTCCAGCCTGGGGACGACTCCGTCTATTTCTGCTTTACCTACTATACCAGTGGAGAGCAGACGTGGGGCGAGGGGACTCGTGTGCGGGTGCAGAGTGAGTACGGGGCCGGGCGCTCCCCTTAGCAGGCCCAGGGGGTGACAGAGGTGTCTCTCCAGCACCCCCGACATTACACCCACAGTGGCTTTGACAGCCGGTGTCTCTCCTACCGAGGAGGTGGGCGTGGGACACAGGCTGGGGGTTGAGCGGATGGGGGGCTATGGCCATTGGTTTTCCCCACCTCTCTTTTATTTCCAAGCTGGGTCCTGTGCTCAGAAGGGATGCCCTGGGCTGGTTTGCCCCCTAGGAGCCATTTTAAGGGACCCCCTGGGGTTGGCTGATTGGGTTCAGTGACTGTACGGCAGCCAATGAAAAAACACTAGCGGAGTTAATTAACGGGAGCCAGGATAAAGAACCCGCAGCTAAACAAGGGGAGACTGGGTTTGACCTAATGACAAAGCCCTGAGAGGCAGGCCCTGCACACTGGAAGGGTAGTGATGCCTAGTGTTTAGAGCAAGCAGGGCTGCAAGCCAGGACTGCTGGGTTCTCTGCTGGTTCTGGCTGGGCAGTGGGGTCTACCGGTTAAATCCGGGGCTCTAGAAACCAGCACTCCTGGGCTCTCTTCTGCATCCAGGCAGGCCGTGGGAACTATGGGAGGAAGCGGGTCTGGAAAGCAGGACTCCTGGGTTCTTGGAGGGAAGTCTCGGCTAGTGGTTAGAGAAGGGAAGGAGCAGAAAGACAAGACTCTTGGGATGCGTCCAGATTCTGGGAGAGGAGTGTGGGCTAGTGGTGTGAGCATGACAGGATGGGAACCAAGGCTTGTGGGTTTCATGCTGGTTTTTAGAGGGCAGTGCAGCCTAGGAGTTACAGTGGTGGGGAGAGGGGGCCGGGAACTAGGACTCCTGGGTCTTTTCTCCTTAGAGGAGGGGAGTGTCGGCTAGTAGTTATAGCATGGGGGATTTGGAAACCAAGTTTGAATGGTTTCATGCTGGCTCAGGAACACCAGTAGGGTGTAGGGGCTCTGGGAACCCGAACACCTGGTTTCTACCCTGGGGAGTGTGGACTAGTGGTGAGAGCAGGAGGAGCTGGAAACCAAAGCTCCTCACTTTAATCCCGGTTCTCTGAATCCGGTTCTGGGAAGGCAGTGGGGTCTAATGGTTAAATGGGGAGCACTGGGAATCATGATTCCTGGGTTCTACCCGGTCTGAGGGAGGGGAGTGAGGGCTACTGGTTAGACAAGACAGGGTGGGAACCCAAAGCTACTTGTTTTCATCCTGGTTCCTTGAACCTGGTTCTGGGAGGGCAGTGGGGACTAGTGGTTAAATGAGGGTCTCTGAGGATGAGGACTCCTGGGTTCTACCCTGGCTGAGGAACGGGAGTGCGGTCTAGTGGTTAGAGCATGCAACCAGTGACCTAGCACTCATGGCCCCCTTCCCCATTGACCTCCCTCTGTGCCCGCAGGGAGCGACCTGCCCCAGCCCCGCATGCAGCTCTTCCCGCCCGCCCAGGAGGAGCTGGCCACCGGCGCGGCCACCCTGACCTTCCTGGTGAGCGGCTTCTTTCCCCGCTACGTGGGGGCGCAGGCGGAGGGCGC